AGAAAATGGAGAAGGCGGAACCAGTAGTGGCAGGTGAAAGTACGGGCGCAGCAGTGAACACGTCAAAGAGAAAGAAGCGATGGCATGAGGAGATGGAGATGGAGGATGATGATGGGGATGAACAGGATGGTCAGGGGGAAAGCAAGGGTGAGCAGGAACAGGAAGTGGAGGATGAGAGTGATATGGACGAGGAGGAGTTCGACATCGACAAGAGCAAGTCTGCCATCTACAAGCATTTGGTGTCCAGTCTGGATTGTCGTAAGTTGTTTGACGATTCCTGGTTTAGTGTTATTTGTCGCGCGCGTTTCTTTAAGCAGTTGCAGGTGTTGGAAGCTGTATATATTCGCACACATGACCCTGTTCTATGCAAGCAAAAAGAAAATGTTGTAGCACTCACACTTTTTAAATAATACGCACTCACCAGTTTTTGTTCACACGCACTCACAGCTGCCACATTCATCTACTGCTACCATTCTCAGATACACTGCAAAGGTTCACACTACACGCGTTATGCATAACCGCTAGCTGTGCTGCATTCTCACGCTTCTTTTCATGTTACTCTAGCTATATAACTGGTTGTTTTAGTGATTCTTGCTATGTGACGATGTTCCACTGATGATGGTCACACGAAAACGTTCTGGAATTATTTCATTTTAATTGTTTATACATGATTATGAAACTCGGGTATTGAGCCAATAATAAAAGTAGAAAGGAAAAGGACATATGGAAACGAGTTAAGAGTAACTCTCCACCACTGTAACTAGATACTGTATACAGTCAGAAAGTGCAACAACAACTACGGAGATGTGTTGAAGCTAGGTGTCAGGACGTCGAATGTCTCAGTACTCTGTTCAGTTTTGTGCCTAGTTGTTGCACTTTCTGACTGTATATAGTATCTAGTTACAGCGGTGGAGAGTTACTCTGAACTCGTTTCCATATGTCCTTTTCCTTTCTACATGATTATGAGTGCACAATTGATATTTTTCATAACTTTTCTAATTGTCCACAAACTACAACGCAGCCACTTACACATTAAGCAAACTACAGTTCTCAACTGCAAAAACGGTCTCTTCACTGCAACTAAAATTTAAATTTAAATTAACATTACAAATTGTCGCCCCTGGCCCATCATGAGGGTAGTAATAAAGGTGTTAAAAACATTGCCAAACAAAAGCTCCAAGTTGTAGACAAACACGTTGAACACAACAGGAAACACTTGTCGCATTTTCAAAATTTGAATACGTATCTTCTGGAAGTGACGACAACGATCAAAAGGAGGAAACGAGGAAGACCAATAAGCCAAACGAAAACCATCGTGAATTCAACGGATGTTAGCGGTGTCGACAGGAGTAACAAAGCAAACAAGTCCAACGTAAGAGAACAACGGCAGGCGTCGAAGGTTGCGGAACTAGATGATCGGACATCGTCCATCAAGCATCATTTTTCGAGCAGACTGACTAGTTGTCGTAAGTTGTATAGTGATGATATCTTTTCGATTCTAACTCGTTGAAGGTCTAAGTTACATCTTGCTGTGTGGGATCAACTGTATATTCGTAAACTAGTTCCAGAACTTGGTTTACAGAAGGAGAATGTGTTATCGTTGCAATTGTTTTTTTCGTCGTTTTTCTCCATGCTCAAGCCTCTTGTACTGGCAAAATACCATCTTGATCAATAATAGAAATGCAACTAAAACCCAAAACAAATTTAAAGTGAAAAGAACTCGAAGCAAATGAAAAAAAGAAAAAGCCAAAAGAAAATTACCCAACCAGCCGCACACGGAACACACAAGAGGCAACAGCATAACTACGTAAACTTGCTCAAAAAACGTTTTATTGATATCCATTAACTTGGGCCACCAACACAGCTAGTGCAGCAGACAAAGCACCAGCCTCCAGAACCACGGGATGTCCGAACAGCTTCCTGCAGCCTCGGAGACACATAGTACAAGACAGAAATAGCAAGAAAGGCAACTTACATCGAACATAGTCAATGACGTGGCAATACTGCTCGGGCTTTTTTGCTGCCAGAAGAGCGGCCATTCTTGCGTACAATTCCGATGCTGCCTTCCCCACCCCACCACTTGCCAATATCACCACTGGAACAAAAGATACCAGCTCCACGTTCCTGACGCATTCCTCATAATGTCGTCTTTTCTCCTTCTCGTGGCGTTGGTACACAGTAGCACGTGGTGCAGATCGATTTGAGGAAGCATGTGGGTGGTTGAACATCCGAACATCAAGAAGGATTCGCTCAAATCGATATCTCAACTGCTCGCAAGTCAGCGGCTGCAACACAGGTTCAATGGAGATATTTGAGCACACCTGATCCAACAACTGGGCAGTTGTGTCCGGGATAGCGTGATGTATTATCGACATTAAACGTCAATGGGGACATGCAACGGAGTGCGTCACATTGACTTCATGGACACAAGAGCAATGGGATTGAAGCTTTGCAGGTGTCCCCAAATAACGGAGGTACGAACCATCCCAAAACTCCTGTTTGTTGAGATTAAAGCCATACTTCCTCAATCGGTGACACGTTAGCCAGCTCGATGATCCCTTCTCACACAGAACATCAATACTGTTGCGCGGGGCCTCGGAGGAATTGCTCATCGCCACCTCCATCCGAGCAAGTTGTGCCCGACGTGTCGCCTCTCTCAAATCAGCCTTAGCCTTACTGACTAAAGTCAAGGCACTTACGAGGATCCTCTCTCCAGTCAAAATCCTGTTGCTGAGCGACTCATTGATGCGGGTAGAAGAAGCAAACTGTGCACTCAAGGTCTGAGCACTCAAGGTCTGTGCACTCAAGGTCTGTGCACTCAAGGTCTCACTCAAGGTCTGTGCACTCAAGGTCTGTGCACTCAAGGTCTGTGCACTCAAGGTCTGTGCACTCAAGGTCTGTGCACTCAAGGTCTGTGCACTCAAGGTCTGTGCACTCAAGGTCTGTGCACTCAAGGTCTGTGCACTCAAGGTCTGTGCACTCAAGGTCTGTGCACTCAAGGTCTGTGCCCTCAAGGTCTGTGCACTCAAAGTCTGTGCACTCAAGGTCTGTGCACTCAAGGTCTGTGCACTCAAGGTCTGTGCACTCAAGGTCTGTGCACTCAAGGTCTGTGCACTCAAGGTCTGTGCACTCAAGGTCTGTGCACTCAAGGTCTGTGCACTCAAGGTCTGTGCACTCAAGGTCTGTGCACTCAAGGTCTGTGCACTCAAGGTCTGTGCACTCAAGGTCTGTGCACTCAAGGTCTGTGCACTCAAGGTCTGTGCACTCAAGGTCTGTGCACTCAAGGTCTGTGCACTCAAGGTCTGTGCACTCAAGGTCTGTGCACTCAAGGTCTGTGCACTCAAGGTCTGTGCACTCAAGGTCTGTGCACTCAAGGTCTGTGCACTCAAGGTCTGTGCACTCAAGGTCTGTGCACTCAAGGTCTGTGCACTCAAGGTCTGTGCACTCAAGGTCTGTGCACTCAAGGTCTGTGCACTCAAGGTCTGTGCACTCAAGGTCTGTGCACTCAAGGTATGTGCACTCAAGGGTGGTTTTTGGATTGATGAGGCGCAATCTACCGAGGCGGCAAGGAAGCGCAAATACGCTACGTAAAACGTTCCTGGGGACGCACGGCAGGTTAGCTCCGTGATAAAATTGTGGCGCATGGCATTCTAAAGCGGCTCCAGCAAATGCTCCGGCGCACTCATTGCTCGCAAAAAGAAGTTCCATTTTCCCCGTTATCCCGACGTAAAGGTAGTATATGCCGCTTGAGGCTGTGTCCGCGCAATCACCGCCAATCGCTCTACCTCTTGCACCCAGTTTTCTACCTTCGACTTGACATATTCTTCTTTAAACACACTTGAGCCAATTGCAGCACCAAAATAACATAAGTCAATTAGGCATCCCCGCTTACATCGCGATAGTGCTACAGGTATGCTACTCACTGACAATGTGTGTTGGTCAAGCGGTATGTATGTCGCCCCAACTGTTCCTCTGTCTAGTTGTTTATCCCCCTCATGAAGTGCCTTCGCAGCATTGGATGATTCACTCTATTGGACCTCTGAAACAGAAAGGCTCCAGGCTGTACAGACAGACCTACCCACAAAAGGAAGGAAATGATTACTGTGTGTTATCTTCGAGTTTCACCCCCAAGCAATCATCAGAAAACAGTAAAAACTAAAATCTGGCCCCCGCTTTTGTTGGTTCTTACCTCCGGAAAGCACTGCCCCCACCGGAAACCCAGTGAGAACCCAACATACCCATACAAACAAGCCATAAGATACACGAAAAGTTACCCAGAACTTCCCCGGCCCGATGAGTAGGAGACCTCATGCTTCAAGAGCCATCGACTGACTAAAGGTATTTTTTTACACTGAAACTTGCACATTCCCACTTCCTTGCCGTGGGATGTTTCAATGCTCATGGTCAGTTTGGTGCTAGATTGTGCAAGTCTGACTGTTCAAAATATGGTTCGGTTGGTGGACTGGATCTCATAACTTGTGCGCACATTTGTCCATGTTACAACTCACCACTCGATTTCCATTTTCGCTGCCTACGATATCAAATGAGATCGAAACAGGTAGCTGTCCACAGATTGAGTAGGTATATAATAACGTTGTACATTATACCAAGGTTAGAAAAACAAGAGTGTGCAACTCCGGATCTTTTTTGCACAATCTGCAGATACCCCGCCCGCGGCGGAATTTTTGGTTGACGTCACCTTTTTTTCAGAAAAATGCGCATTTTGCAGCAGACCAGTGTGAGAGCTCGTGCTGGGCACCGGCCTTGTAATGTACAGCCTGGCGAAGTCCACGAGGCTAAACTTTCCATTAGACTCGCGACGCGTGCATCGTAGAAAAGATTACGTCAACAAATAATTCCACCGCGGGCCAACCCATCCCGGAGTTGCACACTTTTGTTTATCTTCTCTTGATTATACACATTGTCCTCTAGTAGTACCTGACATACATACCTGTGTTTCTTTCTTTTTCTTGTCCATGCTCCTCTTCTCAACCTTGAAGTCATTGGCCCAAATGTTACCAGTGATTCACCCGGGATGCCCAGGAGCGGCTCACTACTTCTTCCTACCATTTGTATCACCATGGTTACATTTACCCTGGCAATGATGACACTGATCGTGTGATTAATGGCAGGCATGATGATTGTTTTGGCGTCTCTGATTTCAATTTGAATTGCAAGCATGATTTTCGCCACATTACTCGTTACTATTAATTATCCACACCGTATGTTATTTACGGAGAGTTTGTTTGTTGTGTGTGTTTTCCCAAAAAGATTGCATTTCTAAGCCTGTAGGCACCGACAGCTTTCGGTGTAATGACAGTCTCCCTCTCACATGTTTGTGTAGGAATAGTTTGTGATTGAAGCTTGGAAGAGATTAGCTGGTTTCCATCAAGTTTAACCCTGGAAGTAATTGTATGGCTGTGCTTGCATGTGTGTATGAGTGTGCGTGTATGTGAGTGTGTGAATTGTATCTGTGTGTTTCTGTATGTTTGGATTGGATTGGATTTTTATTTATAGTGGTGACTATAACAGACAATTGCCTAATAACAATAGACCCACTCGAGGGAAAGATGCAAAAAGATATGAATAACTAATATAATAGACTACCGGTTTTGGATAGGTGATCATGTTCGCATTTTGCATAGCTGAAAGGCATAATTACTAGCGTGAAAAAGCAAGGCATTGGGGTAACAGTTTCTTAAAACGGGCGGAGTTATCCACACAGCGAGCTAGAGGCTGCAAATCATTCCACAGCTTAGCACATTGGAAGGAAGCGCCATGACGGGCAAAGGCAGTTCTGAGCATGGGCAACTTAAGAGTGCGTGATAAAAGGCTGCGCGTTGCAAGACCATTATTTAAACGCTCGAACATTTGACTTAATGTGACACTACAGCGGCCTTCCAAACAGCGCCACGTCAGATACAGTAATTTCTTGCAATACATGGATGCCAATCGATCTAGACCAAGTCTCGCAAATAAAGGGGTTGATGGGCAACAAAAACCAGTATCGTACACTGAACGCAAAGCTCGCTTTAGCATTCGTTCAAGCCTACCTAACTGGGTTAAGGAAAGGCGAGCAGAAAAACAATTTGATGCATATAGAAAATCTGGCAACACTAGGCACTTTACAAAGGTTTCTCGGCAAGTCAGCGGAATATTGTGTCGATTTCGGAACAGAATACCAATTTTACTGGCAAGTTTGGTGACCATAGAATCATTTTGTTGGTGTGTGTGTGTGTGTGGGGGGGGGGGTGAGGGGTGTATGTTGGTGTGGGTGATCTTGTGTCTGTCTGTGTGTGTCTATGTGTCATATACGGTCAGCCCGGAGCCAGGTCTGGGAACTGTGCTAGACAGCCCGGAGCCAGGTCTGGAAACTGTGCTAGACAGCCCGGAGCCAGGTCTGGGAACTGTGGTAGTCAGCCCGGAGCCAGGTCTGGGAACTGTGCTAGACAGCCCGGAGCCAGGTCTGGGAACTGTGCTAGACAGCCCGGAGCCAGGTCTGGGAACTGTGCTAGACAGCCCGGAGCCAGGTCTGGGAACTGTGCTAGACAGCCCGGAGCCAGGTCTGGGAACTGTGCTAGACAGCCCGGAGCCAGGTCTGGGAACTGTGCTAGACAGCCCGGAGCCAGGTCTGGGAACTGTGCTAGACATGAACTACTGTAAAGTGAGAAACTTTCGCTACAGATTAAATTTCGCTATTTTCGCGACCACCACACATTCGCGAATATAAAACCTCTCCGTGCATTGATTGTAGACAGTACAAGGTACAACTGAAGAGATAGAATAGCAAAAGTTTCTCATCGTGAATCAGTCCAAATTATGAAAACGCTAAATTTGCGCGCCGAGAAAGTTTGTTGCTTCACAGTAAGTAATTGAATTTCCAAATCCCTCCATGCAGTGGTGGTCACTGGGAGATCCCGCTATGCAGTGGTGATAACTGGGAGATCCCGCTATGCAGTGGTGGTCACTGGGAGATCCGGCTATGCAGTGGTGATAACTGGGAGATCCCGCTATGTAGTGGTGGTCACTGGGAGATCCCGCTATGCAGTGGTGGTCACTGGGAGATCCCGCTATGCAGTGGTGGTCACTGGGAGATCCCGGTATGCAGTGGTGGTCACTGGGAGATCCCGCTATGCAGTGGTGGTCACTGGGAGATCCCGCTATGCAGTGATGGTCACTGGGAGATCCCGCTATGCAGTGGTGGTCACTGGGAGATCCCGCTATGCAGTGGTGGTCACTGGGAGATCCCGCTATGCAGGGGTGTTCACTGGGAGATCCCGATATGCAGTGGTGGTCACTGGGAGATCCCGCTATGCAGTGGTGGTCACTGGGAGATCCCGCTATGCAGTGGTGGTCACTGGGAGATCCCGCTATGCAGTGGTGGTCACTGGGAGATCCCGCTATGCAGTGGTGGTCACTGGGAGATCCCGCTATGCAGTGGTGGTCACTGGGAGATCCCGCTATGCAGTGGTGGTCACTGGGAGATCCCGCTATGCAGTGGTGGTCACTGGGAGATCCCGCTATGCAGTGGTGGTCACTGGGAGATCCCGCTATGCAGTGGTGGTCACTGGGAGATCCCGCTATGCAGTGGTGGTCACTGGGAGATCCCGCTATGCAGTGGTGGTAACTGGGAGATCCCTCTATGCAGTGGCGGTCACTGGGAGATCCCGCTATGCAGTGGTGGTCACTGGGAGATCCCGCTATGCAGTGGTGGTCACTGGGAGATCCCGCTATGCAGTGGTGGTCACTGGGAGATCCCGCTATGCAGTGGTGTTCACTGGGAGATCCCGCTATGCAGTGGTGTTCACTGGGAGATCCCGCTATGCAGTGGTGTTCACTGGGAGATCCCGCTCTGGAGTGGTGGTCACTGGGAGATCCCGCTATGCAGTGGTGGTCACTGGGAGATCCCGCTATGCAGTGGTGGTCACTGAGAGATCCCGCTATGTAGTGGTGGTAACTTTGAGATCCCGCTATGCAGTGGTGTTCACTGGGAGATCCCGCTATGCAGTGGTGTTCACTGGGAGATACCGCTATGCAGTGGTGTTCACTGGGAGATCCCGCTATGCAGTGGTGTTCACTGGGAGATCCCGCTATGCAGTGGTGGTCACTGGGAGATCCCTCTATGCAGTGGTGGTCACTGGGAGATCCCGCTATGCAGTGGTGGTCACTGGGAGATCCCGCTATGCAGTGGTGGTCGCTGGGAGATCCCGCTATGCAGTGGTGGTCACTGGGAGATCCCGCTATGAAGTGGTGGTCACTGGGAGATCCCGCTATGCAGTGGTGGTCACTGGGAGATCCCGCTATGCAGTGGTGGTCACTGGGAGATTCGCTATGCAGTGGTGGTCACTGGGAGATCCCGCTATGCAGTGGTGTTCACTGGGAGATCCCGCTATGCAGTGGTGTTCACTGGGAGATCCCGCTATGCAGTGGTGGTCACTGGGAGATCCCGCTATGCAGTGGTGGTCACTGGGAGATCCCGCTATGCAGTGGTGGTCACTGGGAGATCCCGCTATGCAGTGGTGTTCACTGGGAGATCCCGCTATGCAGTGGTGTTCACTGGGAGATCCCGCTATGCAGTGGTGTTCACTGGGAGATCCCGCTATGCAGTGGTGTTCACTGGGAGATCCCGCTATGCAGTGGTGGTCACTGGGAGATCCCGCTAGCTATGCAGTGGTGGTCACTGGGAGATCCCGCTATGCAGTGGTGTTCACTGGGAGATCCCGCTATGCAGTGGTGTTCACTGGGAGATCCCGCTATGCAGTGGTGTTCACTGGGAGATCCCGCTATGCAGTGGTGTTCACTGGGAGATCCCGCTATGCAGTGGTGTTCACTGGGACATCCCGCCATGCAGTGGTGGTCACTGGGAGATCCCGCTATGCAGTGGTGGTCACTGGGAGATCCGGCTATGCAGTGGTGGTCACTGGGAGATCCGGATATGCAGTGGTGGTCACTGGGAGATCCCGCTATGCAGTGGTGGTCACTGGGAGATCCCGCTATGCAGTGGAGGTCACTGGGAGATCCCGCTATGCAGTGGTGGTCACTGGGAGATCCCGCTATGCAGTGGTGGTCACTGGGAGATCCCGCTATGCAGTGGTGTTCACTGGGAGATCCCGCTATGCAGTGGTGTTCACTGGGAGATCCCGCTATGCAGTGGTGTTCACTGGGAGATACCGCTATGCAGTGGTGTTCACTGGGAGATCCCGCTATGCAGTGGTGTTCACTGGGAGATACCGCTATGCAGTGGTGTTCACTGGGAGATCCCGCTATGCAGTGGTGTTCACTGGGAGATCCCGCTATGCAGTGGTGGTCACTGGGAGATCCCTCTATGCAGTGGTGGTCAATGGGAGATCCCGCTATGCAGTGGTGGTCACTGGGAGATCCCGCTATGCAGTGGTGGTCGCTGGGAGATCCCGCTATGCAGTGGTGGTCACTGGGAGATCCCGCTATGAAGTGGTGGTCACTGGGAGATCCCGCTATGCAGTGGTGGTCACTGGGAGATCCCGCTATGCAGTGGTGGTCACTGGGAGATCCCGCTATGCAGTGGTGGTCACTGGGAGATCCCGCTATGCAGTGGTGTTCACTGGGAGATCCCGCTATGCAGTGGTGTTCACTGGGAGATCCCGCTATGCAGTGGTGGTCACTGGGAGATCCCGCTATGCAGTGGTGGTCACTGGGAGATCCCGCTATGCAGTGGTGGTCACTGGGAGATCCCGCTATGCAGGGGTGTTCACTGGGAGATCCCGCTTTGCAGTGGTGTTCACTGGGAGATCCCGCTATGCAGTGGTGTTCACTGGGAGATCCCGCTATGCAGTGGTGTTCACTGGGAGATCCCGCTATGCAGTGGTGGTCACTGGGAGATCCCGCTATGCAGTGGTGGTCACTGGGAGATCCCGCTATGCAGTGGTGTTCACTGGGAGATCCCGCTATGCAGTGGTGTTCACTGGGAGATCCCGCTATGCAGTGGTGTTCACTGGGAGATCCCGCTATGCAGTGGTGTTCACTGGGAGATCCCGCTATGCAGTGGTGTTCACTGGGACATCCCGCTATGCAGTGGTGGTCACTGGGAGATCCCGCTATGCAGTGGTGGTCACTGGGAGATCCGGCTATGCAGTGGTGGTCACTGGGAGATCCGGCTATGCAGTGGTGGTCACTGGGAGATCCCGCTATGCAGTGGTGGTCACTGGGAGATCCCGCTATGCAGTGGAGGTCACTGGGAGATCCCGCTATGCAGTGGTGGTCACTGGGAGATCCCGCTATGCAGTGGTGGTCACTGGGAGATCCCGCTATGCAGTGGTGTTCACTGGGAGATCCCGCTATGCAGTGGTGTTCACTGGGAGATCCCGCTATGCAGTGGTGTTCACTGGGAGATCCCGCTATGCAGTGGTGGTCACTGGGAGA